TACTTTTTCACGCAGATCGTTTACACGACGACAGCAACTGGCGTCGTATTAACACCAGGAAACAGCAGCAACAACGGAAGAGTAGTTCATAGTACTGCGAATTGATCTGTTTTACTTGCCGTGGGCGTGTGGAGTATGGAGACAGAACAGAACACTGACACCGTGGAAATGCGCGATTCTTTCTGTTATTTTCGGTGGTCAGTTAATATTTTAATTAATATTGACGAAGAAGCATGTCATTCCTTTCATCTCAGAGCCAACATTGTAGTACAGTTAATTTATTATGGAAACGTAGAAGCCGTAGTTTTAGTATGTCTGGAGGAGTTCCAATTTTTTATTTATTCACGTGCGTTCTAGAGAAATACAGCATTCGCTGTTTTATTTGATATTTCCGTACCTTTCATTTATTCAACTATAAACATTTATAATTTTCCCCTGTCATAGTACCCAATCTCTCAACTCCATCGCATTGGGATCTCTGTGTGATAAAACTTCCTACATTTTCGGCTCCAGAACAGACCTTGGGCTATCTTTCCATCCATCCTAATCCCTTTGGGAAAAATACCAGTACAATTAAAACAATGCAAATAATTCGAGTGAACTGGACGATCATGAGAGTAGTAATTGTGCAGACTGCTACGCAATTGCACTCTGTTTTAATGCTCTCATGGTTCGATATTTTAGCAATTTATCTCTAAAATGGGTCGCAAGATAAGGAATCAGTATTACTGCAATGTTAAAAGGGAGCGCCTGCTACGAATCTCACGATATTATCATTATCTCTTAACTTGCATCTTGTCTGAACCTGACTCACTTTAAGAGATATCCTCTACACCCGGATTAAGATTTTGTGCAGATTGCAAAGCATCAGGGACTGTATATTTCTGCTTTAGAGACTATTTTATATATTTTACTACTTTTATATGTGAGTAAGCGGGAGAGCGAGCTAGACGACCCGAGCCTTGCAATATCAATAAAGTCACGATGATGACTTATTATTCTAATTTATGACTACAGATGTTACGAGTCGGATGAATATAAAATCTACCCCGATTTGCAACCACCAGTTTCCTAAAGAGCAGACCTACAGACTGTCGGTTTCTCTACAATGCTTAGCGCAAAGTGTGGGCTGTTCCCAATAAAGCAACATCTTGCACTTCGCAGTCTTTTGCATGACCTGGGAATTTAGTCAAGTTCTTACACAAATTTTGTGGAACAAATCTTAGAACTCCGATAACTATGGGGATGACCTGTCCTTTTATGCCCGACATTTGGATGGTCTCGACTTACAAATTCTTCTATTAGATTTTCTCTGCCTCCTTGCATAGGGCGTTTTAATCTCATGGCACAGCAATTTCTACACGCACTTTTTTCTCCAAATCCCGGATAACAATATTCTGTTTATTTTCCGCTACCATGCATTAGCCTAAATTTTTTACATGTACAATGTTGTACACAGTCTAATAATAACCAATTTTGGTGATTTGGAGAACAACTTGAAGCATGTATTCGGAACTTCGCGGGCGTTACATATCTGCCAGTGTCGGTAACTGCATACCCTACCATGCCTTCTCAAATATTTGGTCTTCGCTAGAATTGGGCAAGCTGAGACTACATGATCAATGGTTTCTACTTGTTCCTGGAAAATACGGCATTTATCATCCTGGATAATTTTCAGACCACTTTATTATAATATGTTGTTAACGCCTGATCTTGCGCAGCTATAATAAATGCTTCTGATTCTGATTTCATTCTTCGTCTTTTAAGCCACATAAATTATTTGTCTTTATCGATATTCACCTTGAACATTCTTTTTAGATATTGTCCATTGCATGGTTTGTTTTCCCACGATTTCTTTAACACTTTTTGTGTCTCACATTTCATGAGAAGTTCTGCTTGCGTCTTGCATAGTTTTCTTTGCAATGCTTCTTACGAAGCCTCAGTTTCCCATTCTTCGGTCAGATTAACCAGTCGCATTAGTGGGTTGCCTTGATGAATGACTACATATTTTCCCACTCCGAGTATTGCGTTGTGCCAGGAGGCTTCAATTTGTCTGAGACCTTATCCTCCTTCCTAACGTTACACAAAGCCTATATGTACACCAGCTCAAGGGTAGGCAACATTAACATTACTTACAATGCATCTTCTTCGCCTTAATTTTATTATTATTATTATTATTATTATTATTATTATTATTATTATTATTATTATTTTCTAAAGGATTCGAATTATCAATAATAAGCCAATTTATAATAGGCAGAAATTGTTCTTCTAAGCGGTCACAAATGAGCTTATCTCGAGTTTTGCGCTGTTGTGGCCTACAGCCTTTCTGCCGATTTATTCACGCAACTCTAATGGTTGGTAGAAGGCGCAGAGAATGAGTGAAAACCCAGTATAATTCCAAGATAGTCGTCGTACGGAACAATTTAAGGAATGGCTTTCATTTCCGCCTTGCCGCATTCCCAATCCTGTGTGCCGTTTCGTGGTTGAAGTGGGAAGGGGCGCGTTGGCCCACCCGCGGGCGCGTTACCAGGCCAGCCAGCCCGCCCACGCGCGCCGCGCCCGCGCGCGCCGCCGGCGCGCCGCGCCCGCGCCGCTCAGGCGTCCGACCGCTCACAGCGGCTCCGGGAGCAACCGATCACAAGGCCGGGGCGGGGCGGGGCGGGCACCCCGTTCAAAAGCCGGTGACTCACGGCGCGGCGCCCGGAGATAAACAGACCTCTCGCGCGGCCGCTCGCCCCTCAGTCTCCGCTGCCTTCCCAACCGTCGACGGAGAGCGGCGGACGGAAAATATTGACACGGAAAATGCCGGATATACATTTTGCGAAAGGACTTCGATGAAGGAATAGATGCAAGTAACTGTGATACGCACGACTTTTGAATGCGAGCTGAGGTGTGTTGCGCGCATGACCTGCCAGAACACTGGTGTTATTAACTGGAAATGCGATTTTGGTACTGTGATTGGCGTTGTTTTGATTACCAAAACGTACATAAAGTTAGGATTTCCGTAATTTCCTAGTCTGCTTTGTCGTCATCTACTGGACGGCCTCCAATTTGCGTATATATTCTACATATTCATTGCTCTCACTGACATTTGTTACTATTTTATCAACTTACATTTTTGTATGCCAAATTCTATATTTTTAGATTATTTCCTGGATCAACAACTAGCGATCCTGCCTTACTATCTCTTAGAGCTCTTTCGCAATCAAAGGCACTAATCTTTCCATATCTCTCTCTTGTCAATCATGATCCTTCATTCGAAGACACAGTCTTCTGATTATGTTATAAACTAAATAATCTTGTAGTTATGTTACCTCATTCGCAGAATGCGAGGCCTAAAGACATTATATAATATCATTGGTTCAAATCTTTCATTTCTGTTTGCATTGGTTATAGATTTATTTTACCAACAAATATGTTAGACCAATGCTGAACTTGTTTGATATATGTTGTTGTCACGTTTTTGTCTTTTTGTGGCATCAGAAATTAGGTGTTCTTAATTTAATTTTAAGACGTTACGATTGACATATTTTTAATATGGTTTTAAAATTTTATGTTGATCCATCAATTAAAGGCCTAGATGGTAACTGTGTTGCTTCGCAAATTTAAATACGTTCGCTTCCCCTGAGATGTACACACATTCACGATTTTCATCTCATCCCCATCAGCGAACAGCATTTTTCAACTTAGTACAATGCATCAGGAACTAGTGCCTTTTGTATTGCATTCAGGTTGTCGATTCATTGCAAGCTTCGGTCGGAAGAAGCAGAACAATAGAAATTTTATTACATTACAATACACATCGTGACTCTGTGACACACAAAGATGCAAAGTCAATTGAGAAAATTCTTATTAATCAGTTAACGTTTTTCCCAAAAAAGTATGAAAATTACAACAAATATCACGCTCTTGTCATGTTCAACATGAAATACCTTCCCCGAGCATATTTTCGGAATTACGAGACAATATGTAGACTAAAGGCGGTCAAATGGGCGTTCAGCCTCCCTCTGCAGACAATTAAACCTGAGCGAGTAGAGGCAACAGCAAATAAGAAAGGTATTCTTGAGCATCGCACTGGGAGTCATTGCTGCCACAATTAACGTTAGCGTTATTACCTGGCCCTGACACTCCCTTCTCTGGCCACCCCTCACTCAGCCGTTATCAGCCGGAAGATCGCATGCTTTTGTGCCAAAGCTTTCCGCGCCCTTTGTACCTTCGAGCAGGTGCACGCCGCCCCTCTACCCCTGCTCACCGAATGCGGTACCTGTCATGGGAGTCACGTATACAGAGGGAAGGTTTCTCCTTTTGTGATAGAGTAAAGGACAGTCTTCCCTCTATGAGCATGTCTTTCAAAACAAAGTGAAGAGCGTCAACAACTTATTAGAAAGGGTCAGGGGTCACGGGAAAGGGTGGAAAAGGCGATTTAATGAACAGATACGAATGGAAATGAAAGAAATGTAAAAGAAACGAACAAAAGAGGAGAGCATACAAAAGGGGAAAATACACGAGATGAATGAAAATACGAAGACGTGATGAATGGGAGAGTAGTTTCGACGAAAGGAATTAAACTAGAATTAATGACAATCGTAACGAATAAGAATCAAGCGCAGGAAAGAAAGTAACGAAGAAAACATAAATGAAAAATAAGGAAGTGACAGTAAACCGGCAAATGAAAAATACTAAAGAAATGGGAAAAGAATCGAAAGGAAACATGGACGAGAAAAACAGGAGCACGTAGTATTTCTTGGTTATCATGCCACGATGGAACTTCGCATCCCCCCCACTGTATTTCTAGTAATAGTATTTGTGTTTCTCGTTAGTGGTCGGGTGTCGATCGAATGGGGATCGCGTCGGCGTCACCGTTCAAAAGCAAGGGCGCACCGGCGCGTGATGTCAGTGGGCGCGCTCCGCCCTCGCCATCACCACGACCGCCACCCGCAAGTGGTCGCCCCCGTACCGTCATGCTAAGTTATAAGCCGCTTGAGAGGCGGCGGGCGCGTGCGGCGGCCGACGGACGAGCAGTGCGCGGAGGAGGAAGGCGGAGGCGGCGTGCGGTAGCCGGCAAGCGGCGGTGGCGCCGCGCGGCAGTAGGGCGGGTGACGCGGCGCTGCACGGACGGACAGACGGAGCCTCGCGGAGCCAATGGCTACTCGAGGGGGCGGCATGGCGACGGAGCGAGCGCGCGCCTTCTGGCTGGCGCGCGACCGCCTGCCCGAGGACGGAGACGCGAAGGCGGTTGCGGGGGCGGAGGCGGAGGTGAATGGAGGCGGCGTGCACTCCTCCACGCTGGGGCGGCAGGTCAACGGCTGTGAGCGACCGGCGCCCTGGGATGCACACGCGTGGGCGGGACTTTACTGCACGCGTGAGTACCGCGCCCTCGCCACGCCACGCCATGGCCTCAACGGGCGCCCAGTGATGTGTGCTCGTTGGTGGATGTGTCCGATGATTCGTTAAGTGGTGCCTCCTGGAACTTCGGTACCTACCAGTAAATCTTCTTACATTCAACATTGTACTCATCACTCAAAACAACATACAATCATTTTGAAACTAACGAGTATAATATTTGGTTTCTGAGAAATAAAATAATTATTCCGTGAATATGTTTGACGACAGCTTATTGGGGTAAAGTTTACGATTAATCATTGATTTTGCCATGAAACATTTCAGTACGTTTGTAATGATACGAGATCAAAGTGATATTTACGTCAGTGGTGAAAATCAGCTGGTGTCTTTCACCCACGTTTACAGTTACAGTGGGTTTTTACTGTTGAACGCATTACGAATTGTTTTTCAGTGAGAGACACAGACAAAAAGGACTGGCTACACAAGCTCTGAAATTAATTGCTGTCGTGAATTAAAGAACGAGACTGAATAAAACCAGGAAACGCCAACATCAGTTACTTATCTATCCACATCGCTGCTCATATTTTCAGTGCGCTATTTTATCATTTCATTAATTTTGTTTTCCTTGCCTTACAGTGCTCTTATCCACTGTTCATACAGTATTATCGTGTTGCTCTAACAGGTGGGCGGCATTCTCTATCGCCCTACCAGTACTTTGACGCATGGGCTGTAAAGCAATAAACTGAATAAGCACAATACTGGGCATGCTGTGAGGCTAGCTTCACTATACCTGAGATACGCCAACCAGAGAGAAAGGATGCCTTGCTGTATACTCAAACATCGCATGGAACTGATCAATAAAAATAGCTTTCGTATGTTTAAAAACTTGAAAATTCTCGAATCCCCTCCCCCTTTTTTAATATCGACCTGCCACATTCAAATACTTAGACTTGGCCAGCTTCATAACTTAACAGTTGCTTTCGAGGAGCAAATTAATTTGTATTCAAAGGAGTACATTTTTTATCAAAATTAATCCCAAGCATGAAGTTGAAAGACAGAATACAATTTTACATACGTTGTATTTGTATCGTCAAAAAACTATTCGTTTTGCATGTTCAAACAGATGACACTGCGGACACAAGTGCCACCTGCTTCTACACGTTTCTTATTGGCCGATTCGAAAAGCGCGAAATCTTAGTTGCCGTGTGGGCGAACAAACGTTCGTGACTCGGCATTCGCTCCGGCGAGCGGTCGCTCCCCGGAGAATTTTCAACTCGCAGCGAAAGAAACAAATTAGCAAGGTGAAAGAAAATGAGAGTGGAACTGGGTGGAGCTCATGGGTGAGGAAGGGCACCGGCTAATTCACGAATTAGCCAAATTCGGGCATTAGCTGTAACTGATACACTGGGTGCGAGGGAAGGGATGAGGGAGTGAGGAGTGCAAGGGGGGAGGGGAGTGAGGAGTGCAGGGGGCGGGAGAGAGCAGGATCATTCCGCTCGTCACCATTTTTCGTCATGGTTGCTGGCAACAAAAACAAAATTTGTCGGACACGTGAAATTTGTGTTTCATCCTTCAAAGCCCAGCCACACTTGTAAGGGCACTACGCATTACATTGAACTAGCACGACTCCTTGTATTCGATATATATTATTTGGTATATTCTTCGATCCATTTTTTCACAGTATGTATTTTTACTTTCTTGCCTCCTAGGAAGAGAAAGTATTGTAATCGTGCGTCCGTTATGTAGTCAGAATCCATGTTTTGTGGTTCCGATATCGAAAAATCAATTGACGGCAAAACTTCCTTCATCAGTATGTGGTCACAGCGAGCGACGAAACAGTTAAGCTGATTTTCTTCAAAATTGATATTACATGATCGATTTAAAGGAACCCGAGCCCCTCTGAGTTTGAAATAGATATTTTTATTCTTTGAGGTACTACTTTACCTGAAGCATTATTCACAGTTTCAAAATTTTCTCAAAAATAGCTGCAAATTTTAGGACTAATTTGTTTCTCTGACAACAAAAAGGTAGCTTAAGAGAAAGGTGCGAGTCTCATTTTCACATGACTTTTCGAAAATTGCAAAAGTTCGGTGTTTTTTTTTTCGTCGTCCTACAACTATAATAGTGAAGATAGGGATTTTTATCTTAATGAAATCTGTTAAAGACAGATCTTGAAATAATGTTACGTTGAATGTTTCAACAATATGAGTAGTTTTAGCGTAATTTTACGTGATATTCGGTTAGTTTTTAATATGATTAAATAACTTCTCAAAACAGCTCCAATTTTTCTTTAATTTTTCTCCTTGTATGTATCAAAGGACGCTAAAACCTAGGGGGCTAGTCTCATTTTCGACACACACCACGTATTTCAGAAAATTGCAAAAAGTTGACATTTCAAAACTACAAAATTGAAGACAGTATTTAGCCTGAAAAAGAATGTTCTAAAATATTAGCTCTTTAAAAAGGTTATGCTCATTGTTTGATAAAAAAAGGTTGTTTTTGCTTCATTTGTGTTTGAAATTAATGCAATTTATTAAAAAAATGTTTTTTTCAAAAACTCACTAACTGTTTTCTTTACGTTTCTTACACGAATAGAAGTGACGCTTAACAGAATTGCGCAGGTCTCATTTTCGTTAAACACTGAATTTTGGAAAATTAAAAATTTCGAAATAATGCGAGAAAGTATGTGCTGTAGCAATACTAGTTTATATTACAATTGTGTTACTATTAATTAATAAATGCATTAATTACCCGACTAACTTTCCGTTTAATTTCAAGTGCCTCATATTGCCATGTATTGTTTATTTTCCTTAATTCAAAAATAGGCAGGTGAGTCGGTGCGCGGGAAAAGTTATGATTTTTTCGTTCAAGGAAGATCTGCGAGAAACGCGCGTTGGAAGTAGATAACCCCGACGCAGCGTGCACACACACACACACACACACACACACACACACACACACACACACACACAGGCGCGTGTAGCTGGCCGCTGCACTGCGCACCGCGTGTGCGATAAGTGCTTCCGTGGAGCGTCGGGTTCAAAGGCGAAGCAACGGGAAGCGCTGAGCCGCGCCGCGGCTAGGCAGCGGCAGATGTGGGAAAGTTGTCGCAGCGGCGCCGCATAATGTCCCGGATGACAGGAGAGTGCGCGAGGGAGGGGATTTCTTCAAACCGGAGGCTCTAACATCTGCCGGAGTTGAATTCTATTACCAATGGTGGAGAAAGGATCAAGCACAAAGTTGTAGTATGGGCCATCAAGGTTGCGAAGGCACGAAGACAATAATCGGCCGATTAAAACAGAGAGCATTGAGCAAATTGAACGCAAACGTGAACGACATACTTTCTTATCTATTGTTTTGAGTCATTTACACAAATATGGATACTTGTTCACTCTTCCAACATTTGTGTATATTTGATCACGATAACCATATCCTTATGCGTTTGCGAAGCCGATTCCTAGAATCGCGTTGTCCATCATATTTCAAAAGAGGCATTAAAGGAAAAACAATGTTTTATCTGTAAGGGGTGTAGACTACGAAGCGTTACTCTAATGGCAGTACGTGAACTCCCAGAACCTTGCATGTATACAGAACGAGTTACCGCAACGAAATCGCCAACGTTGCAACAACGACCTTCCCGCGGGAACAGCTAAGTTTAGTTTAAGTAAGTTTTGTGATTCAAGTAAATATTTATGTTTCTGAAAGCGAATAAGGCGGTGGATGGGTTGCCAATGCACTAAAAAATCATGATTTTCATTGACCTTCCATTACAAGTTATGCAAGTCCTTCGTAACTTCCAATTGTGTGACAAAAATGAAAGAATATTTTATTATAATTATTTTAACAGCGGTTTGTGTTAACTACCCGAAAACAATAACTAAGAACAAAATTCAACAATGATCATGCACTTTCCAGGGAGGACATTCTTTTGCAACGTAGCTACAGTTAATCACAGTTTTAAGGTTAATCAAACGAAAACGCGAGGGCACCGCAACTTTCCGCCCATCGAAACCTTTTCTTAATCATAGACCTATTTTCCCTCGCTTCAAGGTGCATTCGTCCATCTCTTCTCTTCCGATGCGACAATAATTGAAAGGTTAAAAAAAATATCAACTTATAGTCACAATTTAGCATTGTTTATGTGCGCTGAATTATTACTCTACTTACTTACAATTGTACAATTTTTTATACAATACTTTCTTTTTACATTTTGTATTATTAATAATTTTTATGTAGTTTAGTTTGTAAATCTCTGTCTCTACATTCTAAGATTCGCCGTTTATATATTCATGTAAATGTATATCTCATCTGCATACATAATAATAATAATAATAATAATAATAATAATAATAATAATAATAATTCAAAACTGTGGCCTCTGTCCATGTGTATCAAAGACTTTTACTATTTCTTCGCTGGTAAGAATATGCTTACGATTCGGCACGAAAAGAATACGTGTTATCATATTGTGCCTCAGCAGGGGTCTGAAGGCCATTTCAGCCTGTATATCACTCGCTCGTTCTATTACGTTGGCTAGTATCGCTCCTAAAAACTTTACTTGGTCTTTTCACAACCCAACTCGCACAGGGACAATATGGAACTAAATTTATTTTACGACCAAGAGCAGACTAGGCCCGACGATGAGGGTACAGTACAGGATCAGACTTCGGAAAAACAGAGGTTGGAATACACGGTGCAACTGAAATATGCACTCTTTCAGCATTAATGCCTCACGATCCGTTTTCCGTGACCTTGTCGGACGACCAATGGTGCCAGCGAGCCTTCCTGCGGAAATGCAAATGTAAATGTAAATAGATTCCGAGACCAATGGTAAATCCTACTTTTAAAATATTTCTCAAGACTAGAAAAAATATATTGTACAAATATTTTCAAATAAGAACTAACTGGCAACATTTATGAGAAACTTATCTCGTTATGTAAACCATTGACTTAAGTGAAAATAGCTCTGCTCAAAAATAACTTCCAGCGTTATTGGCAACTCCTGCTACGGCTTGAGAG